AACCCCTAAACCCTAAACCCCTAAACCCAAAACCCCTAAACCCTAAACCCGAAACCCTTCAAAAAAAATACTGCCAAGCCCGAAGACCTGCCCAGAGCGCCCCAACTTCCGCGTCAGAGACAGAGCCAGGAACAAGCGATGCCTTCATAGCATACTATCAAGGCCTAGGCCTAGGCATTTGAAGGTAACTCTGACATCCCCACAGTTCCTTTTAGAAGCCCCAAAAGGCCCTAGACAGTACATGGGAGCCTTAGGTGAAGCTTCCGCCTCTGCTTCGAGATGCCGTGGGAAGTGAGGGCTGGATCCTCGCAAAGCTCTTGCACAGCTCCGTCGACTTGAGCTTCAAGTCCAAGACCCCCGACGGCCTTTTCTCTTGTTTTTTCAGCATACTTCAGGGTCAGGGTTTCGGGCTTGTCTCACTCTCTCCATGCGATTCTTGTTTTAACTCTCTGTGTGTGTGTGTGTGTTTGTGCGAGTTGTTGGCTGCGGGCAGAGGTTGGGATTTGATCCCGTGTCAGTTTCTCTCACCTGGGACAGGAAATTGAAAAAGAAGGAGACCTGCTGAAGAAGAGGTGGCAACGTTGGGGCTTCACACACCACTTGTGGCGAAAGTGCGAACCCCACAATAAAAGCCCGCATCGCTAATCTAAATTCCTAGGCCTCAAACCTAAACCTTAATCCCTCCATCCAAGGAAGAAGGAGAAGAAAGACAAGTCGCACAAGAGAGCAAGCAGGATCTGAGGCTGTTCGCCAACTCGGCGGCGATTTAGCCATTGAAGCCCTTCAGGGGTAATTTCAGAGTTTTACGGGTTTGTGGTTTCAGAAATAAGGGTTTGGAAAGGCTGCAGCAGCTTAATGAAGATATATAGGCCGCTGACTCGTCCTCTAACACCAGTCCTATGCCAGGGCTTATGGCGGTTCATGTCCTCGTGCGGGTTTACTGGCTTAGTTGCGCATTTCTTCGGTGATCGGGCTAGTTGAGCTCAGTGGGTTTAGGATTCGATGGTATATTCAGATTGTCATGTTGTTTTTTGGATGGGGCTCAGGGCCCAGAGCTTTTTGGCTTTATTTGGGGGTATGCCACTGTTCTTCCAACAACGTGGCGATCCAATGGCTTGAGAAATTCAATGCAGTGGCTTCACGGTGTGCTCGGGTGCCACGCCGGAGGCGAGCAACCGAGCAGCCTTGGAATCCAAAGCCTACAACGCCCCGAAGCACCAACGCCTGAGTCTCATGAGGCTGCAGTCTCCGCGAACCCAAGTTTGTGCTATTTCGAAGTGATTGCCCTCATCGCCAACATCCGGGCAGGGTGGAGCATGTTAGTTCTTCCGGTTCTGCCTCGCCGCAGCAACATTGACCCCGAGATAAATGCATGTTTTTCGGCTTGAGCCCAAAGGACACAAACCCCCAGCATACTGGTTACAGTATGCCGCATGTTTTCGTTCTCCATACAACTTCCCTTGTCTTGCATCTCGCTGGCAGGAACAAAGGTCAATCTTTTATACTTTTCATGAGTGCCATCATTCGGCCACGGCTTGTGTGAAGCGTTTGGTGTATCGGCAACAGTTCCACATGACGTTCGAGGATTTTACTGCGGCGCGAGTGGTACATTAGATTCCAGTTCGACGCATTTAAGCGTACCCTAGAAGGCCGCTCTGCTTGCTACTTGTAGTGATTGTAGGGTCGACTTCATTGCTGCGCTTTTGGCCTCTTGAAGCTTCAGGGCTTCACTGAATGAAATCGAGACACTCGACCCTTTTCCAAAACTCCAGACGTATTTCCAAAGCACAATGGTCCCCTAACTCTCATATCATGAGGCTGGTAGGATTCGCTCGTGCAGCCACCCTGGTTTTCCCTGGCAGCATGTGGTGGCTGCGCATTTCACTGGCGAACCTATGTCCGTTTGCGGTGACTTTGGGTTCAGAGCTACCGCTACGGACATACCTATTCCTGTCCCGGTTCTCCACGAATTCATGCTACAATCCTGGACCTTACACTGCTACCCATACACCCGAGTTCTTTCGCTTTACGAACGACCTAGTGCCGACTCGTTCAGCTCGTCCACGCAGAAAACGGAGCCCGCTTTCTTGAGGGCGAAGGGTTTATCCTAAGGCCCCAAAGTAGTTCCTGTTTGGGGTTCATATTTAGAATCTTATGAGGTAATCCCAAAAAGGAACTACTATGGGGCCTCTGGGTTGCTTCAGGGTTGTGTTGAGGGTTTCGGATCTACGATCGTACGTCTAGCACGGCAGTACGGCAGTATATCTCCCCGGTCCACCGTAGCCAGAAACCTTGACAATTCAAGTGCATCCCATGCCCCAGAGTATCGCTTGCATAAGCCGTTCACGTCCTGGCACATGTAACCTGTTGGTGTGCGGGCACGGCATGGGTTTGGGGCATACTTGCTGGGGTTGGTAGCACAACGTTTGCGTTCCATTGCTGGCTCTGCTTACTGCTACTCCAACACCTACTTGGGTAGTTGTCAAAATTATGCTTCCTTTTTGGGTCCCTAATGTCGTACGGCACCTGTTATTTAGGGTACTCCAAAAGGGACCATAGTTTTGACAACCACCCACTTTGGAATTGAAGACCCTGAACCCTAAGTGCTGCTGGGTCCCGGGGAGGTTTGGTTCGAGGATGTCCCAGTCCTGGGTTCACAGAAAAAAGCCAAGCCGTAAACTTCCAACACCCTCAAAATTCCAAACCCCCGAAAGCCCGTTGGCGAAGGGATTTGAGGATGGAGTGACGTACCTAGGACCTAGGAATGACCGGATTTTATAGTTCATGATTCTTCTGGACTTCTTGGATCAAGCATCCGTGGCCGAGAATGATCGTACAGATTCAATCGCTGAGGCCAACAATTAACTCTTCCTGGGTTTGAAGCAGTGACAAGTGACAAGTGCCTTGCTTGCTCTCGTGTGCATGTGGCCGCGAACCCTATGTACCCACTCCAAGGTATGCTGTAGGCCAATTTCGGTGTGTCGTTCGTCTTGAGCGACGGATCATCGGATTCCACCATGACCTGCATGTCAGCTGCGCAGTCAAACACGCCCAGGCCCGGCCCTGCTGTTTTCTCAAAGCACAGTGAGTTGGAGGGTTTTAAATGTTCGAGCCCGAGTGCAGGCAAAGTGATGTGTGGTTTCCTTGCGCACAGCCAGAGTTCATAGTTTCACCGTTGGCACGGCCCCAGGCTGTAACGTTTGCCTCCAGTTTCCAAGCTCTTTGGGATGCCACTTCTTTGTCAGAATAGTGTTGTATGCAGTGATGTGCGGTTCAGATGTCCACTGTTGTCAGCAACATGCACCATGCATGCATACATCGATGAGATAGACGAGATGAGACTGACTTAGGCTAGGCTGGGTTAGGCTGGGTAGATGGTTGGAGATAGAGAGAGATGGATAGATAGCTGGGTGGCTAAGTCATGTTGTACCACACAAGCTGAACAGTCATAAATCAGAGCACCACGAGCATGAGGAAGGCCGTGCGACCTTAAAGCCGACTGCCCTTCCTAGAACCCCAATGCTTCCGAAAGACCAAGATTAAATTGCTTATGCAAGTTGGGGATAGCTTCTATAGTACAGTGGGGCCTTACTTGTCTGAAACTCCCAAACCCCGGCGCTCGAACTCTAAAGCCCAGAATCGCAGAAAACGTACGAAACCACCAGAAAAGGACAAAAGACCCGCAAGATAACCAGAGCAACAGGAGCGCAGCGGGGGTGCTCGGGGACCCGGCATCTTTCACTTTCTTTCTGGCTGAATGGTTGCGGCAGCTGCGGCTTTTGAGCTGTTGGGGTCCGGGGTTTGTGTTGGAATGGTTTGGGGAATTCGGACCCTTCTGGTTTCGCAGGCTCAGCTAGTCAGATTGCCGCTTCAATGATCTAGCTATAGGTTCATTGTAGTCGCCGGGAGAACGATGAGAAGGAATCCCGCCTGACCAAGCTGCATGTTGAATTGAATCTCTTGTATTTGTAAGCTGGGCTGTTTGCAAGCTCCCTGTTATCACTATATATGTATCACTCCCCGTCAGACCGAACGTGCCTCGCCTCGAGTCAGACGAGCCCCGAAACTTTGCACCGTTCGTGCAGAAGCCTCGACGGCCCACAGTCGAAACCTCTATGGGGCTTCCTTATTGATTATAAGTATATAGCATAATGGGCCCCCAAAACCCTATTCTAATTATTGAGGTCCCTGTGTTAGATTCTAGTAACTATACTTTCGAGACTGCGAAGACTGCTGAGGCGCACGCCGCGCAACGATGCCTGGCGTGGTCGGTCAGGCAGCAAGGGCACTATTCTGTTAAGCGTGGTTGTTGCGCTTAAAACTACTAACAGTCATTTTACCTCGATAGCTATTATTGGTGCTGTGGCTCACCTTCCTTTGCTTCTTGTATGGTTGACAGTACTATTGTCAGTGGGCTTCATTTGTTTATTTGCTTCTTTGTTGCTGCTGGTGCGTTAGTTGCGAGAGTTGCCGTGCCGCGAGTACTGAATGTGAGCCTTGTGAGTATGGTTGTTTTTTACCACAGTGACTGATTATAGCGAATATCTTCCTTGCGTGTCGCGTCCCAATCAAGCCCTGACCTACATCCCAAGCTGCAAATCAAGATTTTTTCCCCCATCCTTCGCACATCTTACAGCCTGAGTGCCGGTTAGTCAGGAGGAGGAGATCTCTGTTATGCATACTTCTAGGGGCCTTGTACAATTTGAGCCCCGATTGCCAGTTCCCCACCCGAAACTCCAACATGCGGAACGTGACGCAGCGTTTAGACAGCGTATGCTCTTCACCAGCAAAAGTCCTGCCAAAGCCCTCAGCAGCGGACTTGGTATCTGAAGCCATGCCTGCCTTGTGCGAGTGTATGAGTCGAAACCCTGGACTCTAGCCCTAGATCCGAAGTTTTACCACCCCCCCAACCCGATTCCCAAAATCCTAAGCACGAGCACGAAGCCTTCCACCACGCAGCCTCCACGACGCTGCGTCCTCACCTCGCTTCGAGCCTACAGATGGCCGACAGCCAGGGCCTTGAGACTCTCTTCGGCTTATCGGGTAACGGGGCGCAGGATAGATACTAGTACTGTTCCCTAGGGTTCCTTCTTAACGTAAGTATGCTGTAGTATACCCCAAGATCGCTATTCTAATCGGGGCTCATGGTTTTCATGGTCAACACTCAAGTCTCTTTGCCTGCTAGATCATCCTTGTAGAGGCGTCGGATCCTGTCATTTGGGTGTTATACTGCGGTCGTCCATTCTTGTCCAACTTCGTGTGCAAAAGTCTGGCACACACACACACACACACACACAACACACACAACACACACACACACACACACCAGTGTCGCCAAAAACCCTTCGTCCTGCTATTGGCTTTGGCTTGGCCGGACCAAGGCGGCGGGAGAGGCCGCCGGTGCAGTTTCGAGGGGACAGAGGGTCCCGGAGGTGCTTTAGTCTTTTTGTCTTTGGGAGTTTAGGAGGGATTACGGCGCAGTGTGGCTGATGTGAGACCATCCACTGGGGATGCCTCCCTTGGCTCATGTGTGTATGGCACTCGGGCAGCACATCACTCGCTTAAGCGTCTTCTAAAATGCATTTCAAGGAACCCTCAAGCGATGTGTATATCACCCTGAAACAGCATTGCCTGTAAGAGCGCCAATTGGCTCTTAGCCGCTTGGTTGCAACCCGAAACGATTGGCAACGTTATCAATAAGCCTCTGCCTATCAATCAGACAGAAGCCGCTCTTCCAAAACCCTAAACCCTAAACCCCTAAACCCAAACAATCCTCTATTACTGCCAGTTTCGTCCGGAGGTTGGCTTTGGTCCCCGCGGACAGGGGAATGTCAAGACATCAGGCGGTGGACGATTCTTGAACACTTGACGAATTACATGCGCGCAATGAGATAGTAGTGATGGTGTACGTTTGTGGTCAATGGCTCTAGGCTTCTCACGTCCTAGAGTCTTAGAGATGAGGGTGGTCTTTCGTGGTGGCATTGCGTAGGGTTGGATCAGCAGATGGCAGATAATGTGTTATATTTATAGCACAGCTCCCGAGACCTCATTGAGGTATTAATTACTCCTGCAGCAGTCCTATCGAGAAGTTCCAGAAGTTGAGCTTGAATCCCGCCCGTCAATCGCAAATTAGGTCCTTATGCCAGGTCGCAGGCCGCACGAAGCCCGCACAGGGGGTTCTGTGGTTTCACGTAAATGTACCCCTGCAGTACTCGACGATTACGTCCTTTTTTGCCTGCGGGCTACTTCAGCCGACGTATCGATCAGGACAATTAGCAACATCTGCAGAGATCCCGTGCGACTCCTATTCATCGTGTGATCGGGGTTTTAGCCTTTCTGCTACCAATGTGCTCGGTGCCATCGCCAGCAGCCAGCATCATAACCCAGACGAAACAGCACTGCAACCGCAAGACTGCTGCAAAGGAATGGAAAAATACAAAGACCATGATGCTCCTACCCGGCCATGTGGGATGAAAAAGAAGGCCAAAGCCCCGGAAGCCCTAAGACCTGACTAGACTGACAGCCTAAATCCCCTTGAAGCCTTGACCTCGAAGCACTGACTGCCAATTGGGTGGTTGTCAAAATTAGGGTCCCTGTTTGGGTCTTTATTACAATACGGCACCTATTATTTAGGGTACCCAAAAAGGGACCATAATGTTGACAACTACTCAAATTTTCTCGCTTACATCAGGGCCGCGTCTGTCGACAGCTTCCGGAGGCTCTCACTGCATGGCTCTCTTTGTTAGAGTTCTTGAAGAGATATGTGGGCATCTGAGATATGTTTTACTATCCTTTGTGGGGCTCAAGATCTTCCAATATCCTTTTTTCTGGCATGACAGAGCAAGTTTCAAGTGTAGAGTTTAGGAGCTATTTTACAGAGCTGCCAAATGCCTGGAACTTGAGAACATACGGCAGACATGCCAGAATGCGTTTTTTGCCAGAGAGGAGAGAGGAGAGAGAAGGCATTCGAAGGCCTTATACAGTATTTCACCTACTTAAAAACAAAAATCTGCGGAGCCAATGCAAGCCGGCTGTTAGACTAGAGAGGTCTTGGTGTTGGGGTTTCGAGGTTGGAGGATGTGAGTCGGCTTTTTGGGGTCAGGGCTTTGGTGCATTCGGGTGTCAGTCTGTCTCGCCGTGCTTTCACTCCAAGTCAAAGAAGCATTCGGGCTGTCGTTGAGTTACGCTCAGGACATGGCATTGATTCTGGCGGCTGTGCGGATTTCGGAGTTTTCGGGCTCTTCTTTGATGGCGTGCTTAATTGATCAAGGATCCCCTTTTGACTTCTGGCGGTTTGGGTTTCCCGATGTTTTTAACCGCTGCTTTTTCAAACCAAAAGTACATCATCATGCATACCTAACATCCATGCATGCATGCATGCATGCGGGCTTGCTTACACACACGCGTGCATGCCTACATATGTGCGTAAATACTGACATACTTATCTGCCTTTTTCAGTTGCGACCACGACCCCCCGGAGGTCCTATTCATAAACTCATACAAACTCCTGGGGCCTTGAGTCATCGTCCAGTAAAGCCCTCAGCATGGTTCCCGAACATCTTGATAGTGCAGAAACCTCCAAAACATTAGTCTCTCTCAGGACTTTGTATGGACCCAACTATACCATGCGGTAAGAGGACATCATTACTATTTGTGAAGGCCTCTGCATCGCAGTTCCTATGTTTACAAGGCCGGCGCCCTATGCAGACCTGTTCGACCCCAGCGTCGACAAGGCGCAGAAAAGAGTAGAGCGAAGGGCCGGGGAGTTATCGGGGTCGCATTAAAAGCCATAAGCCATGTAAGTGTGTACAGCCCGCATCCTGAACTCGGCAAGAGCCTTCACCACACCCCGAAGCCCAAATCTCTGCACCAAGAAGACTTCAATCCCTCCAACCCTACACTCTCTGGAACCCTAAGTTGACAAGCTGCAGAATCCGGAAGCACCCCGTGGCCAGTGAATGCTGCAACACTCACTGGAAGCTCTTATCCTAACTTCGTCAGCTGGGCGGAAGGGGTGAGAATAGCTACGAGACTCTAACAAGCATCTCAAACGCTGATGAATCCTAACAGCCTACGAGGCCCATGATCACGACAACAAGCTCCAGAACCTCGGCAAGCTTGACGAAGAATAATTTCGGATAATCAGGCAAGTCAAAAAGCTTCTGTAAACTCCTTGAACCGAACGAAGCCCCGGTAAACTCCTCTACATCCAAGAAACTCGGAATCCGCCAAGCCCGAAGACCAGCAGTCCCTATACCTTACTAGGTTGGATTTTGGGACCTTTTTTATTTTCCTTATTTGGGTTTATAAGGGACCCTATATATAAATACTTTTCAGGGTGTTTAAAGGCCAACCCAGCTTAAATCTCGCATTCTTTGGCGACGGTCGAGGCAAGTTTACGCTCGCCCCGGGGTGTTCGCCGTGCAGCAGAGGTCCTGGTGGTCGGGCATTAGAGCTTATGCTTTCTGTCGTACATTTGCAGTTCGATGTTGTTTACCGGGGCCTGCAGTTCTACACTAGTTTGAGGCATGGTAAGCGCCTTACAATGTTATAGAGCTGTGAGAAATCGCGAAGGTTTCAGGGTCTAGGATTTAGGTTCGAGCTTTACTTACTAGCAGATATTGTTCCGGACCTTGGGGCGAAGTCGCAAGGGATCCAGCGCCGTGTCATGAGAACCAGGCTCGAATCCAAACCTCAAGACCCTGTAGTTCTCTACGGGGTGCGGAGTATAATTGAGCATTTTAGCAGGAAAGCCCTGAAGATGAGTTCCCAGTCTGATTCCGGAGGCTCAGCGCATGTGTGGGACCCAAGTTTCGGGTCGGGTCGGCCCTTTCGTGCTCGGGGTAGCGGTTGATGGTCAGATGGCTCAGGGGCTTTTAGTGCAAGGGGGGTTTTAGGGTTTACCCAGAGCCCCAAAGTAGTTCCTTTTTGGGGTTCATATATAGAATCCTACAGGGTATTCCCAAAAAGGAACTACTTTGGGGCCTATGGGTAGGGTATTTTTGCCGGTTGGATGAGGTTCAGGCTTCAGGCCCTGGGCTTGCAAGGGCGGAGTGAGACAGAGGGAGATTCAGTGGCCTTGGAGCTGTGTGAGCTGGAGAAGGGTGGGTAGTGCTAGGTTCCCGAGAGTAGTGTGAACACTTCAGCCAAGTTTCTAAAGCCTAAGCAGCGGCTTTAGGTTTTTGTGGCTGAGGTTCCTGGTCGGGCCATGTTGGGACAGGGTGTCGTCGCACCTCTGCCGTCTGGGTTCGGATAGCTTCTCGTCTTTTGAGCAGTTCCCACGATCAGGAGTGCTTTCGTCAAGGAAGGCATCCTAAGCCTTCCCCCAAACCCTAAACCGTTAATCGAAAAGGTTAAGAGAGTCCAAGCCGTTGAGCTGGAGTGGGAGGAGCAGCAGTAGTCGTCGTCGTGGTAAGGGTAGTGGTAGTAGTAGCAGCAGTCGTCGTCGTAGTCGTAGTGGCAGTGGCAGTGGCAGTAGTAGTAGTAGTAGTAGTAGTAGTAGTAGTAGTAGTAGTAGTAGTAGTAGTAGTAGTAGTAGTAGTAGTAGTAGTAGTAGTAGTAGTAGTAGTAGTAGTAGTAGTAGTAGTAGTAGTAGTAGTAGTAGTAGTAGTAGTAGTAGTAGTAGTAGTAGTGGTAGTGGTAGTGGTAGTGGTAGCAGCATCAGCAGTAGTAGCTGTTGTAGCAGCAGCAGTCGTCGTCGTAGTAGTCGTCGTCGTAGTCGTCGTAGTAGTAGTAGTAGTAGTGGTAGTACCAGTGGTAGTGGTAGTGGAGAACACGAGTAGTGATGCGGACCCGCATTCCAGCATCGGAGCCTCACTAAACCCCACTAGACAAGTGAGAGACTGACGCCAAGCACGCCTGTTTCTTCAGTGGGCTCAAGGCTCTCCATGCTGTCTGCAAGCCGTGGACGCCCAACCCGGCACCTTCAACCCGGAAGCCCAAACCATCCCAAAGCCCAGCCCACTTCATGCCAAGTTCTAGATGAGATGTTTGGCTTCGACAAACCCCGATAAGCCCCGGGCCTCAAAATCCTCAACCTGCTGTACATCGACTGCCACTATACCGCCGTCCTCAACCCCGTCAAAGGTTAAGGACACCTGCGGCACCCTGAGCTAGAGCTTTGCGGGATACCCTCAACCCAAAGCCCTAGCGTCCAAACCGAAGACCCCTCAATAGTCAACCCCGAAGCACTTTTCCTCCATCTAAACGCCTCATAGCTTCCGTAGCGATGGCCGTTTGCGCCGCGTGCCAGAAGCGAAGCGCATCTCGACACACCTCAGATTTACTGGTATTTCTATCTATGGGGCTAACGGTGGAACATCTGCTTCAGGGCTTGGGGTTCGCAAAGGTTAGGGCTTCGGGTTTAGGACGCTTTCAGGGTTTCGCCTCCTTTCCTGGCATATGCGTAGTCCAGGTCTAAAAACGACGCATTCAGGGTGCAGGCTGACATGCTTCAGAAGCCAACTACTACAGCTATGCGCTCAATTAGCGCCACAACTTTGTGCTGAGGTTTGACAGCCAAAGCCCCAAAACGGACAAGCTAGCAGGTGAGACCAGAGCCCCTGAGCCCCCAAGCCCTGTGCCAAACTCACTTGCGAGGCCACCTCATGTCGGATTCGCACACCCCAGTCTTAAACCGAACACCTAACCTAAACCCCACCCTAAACCCTAAACCCTAAACCCCCAAGTGCCGGAAAAGGCTTTCAACACAACGGCGAGTAGGTTTTCAGATTGTCTTTCGGCCTGTGAGGGGAGGAGCTGGTTCCTTGGGGCCGGCCGATGCTGAGGAAGGCAAGCTCCGCAAGAAGATGCCGTTGAGGGCTGCCAATCATGTTACGTAGCTTTCTATCGAGGTGTTGGTTTCTTCTTCTTTCCTGGTAGAACAGCAAACAAAGAAAGACTTTCTCCAATTATCCGATGCTTGCTTGAAAGTGAGCCCTAATCTACCGTAGCACTCCATCTCTGGGCTTCATGGGTTTCAGAGCCTCCGCAGTACGGATGTAGATGGTGCCCCGTATCCCAGATTCTGTCACTGTGGATATGCCGACATGCCCCACCATGTCGTTCAGCAGACATCTCCGCAAGCATTCAGCAACAACAGCGATTCCAATGATCCAATCCCGCTGTTGACCTTGGGTAGAGGGCCTTGTGTTAACCTCTTGACTGGTGAGTGAGAGTCAGATACTTATTTCAATCTACGCCGGCTAAGTGTCGAGGGTTTGACGTATGCTTGCATGGATGCAAAGCATCTCCGAAAAGAATTCGGGTAGGCACCCCAGCACCCCAGGTCTCAGCCACGGTCATGATGCCTTCACATTCCGTACATGTTTTTCATCGAACAACTTACCTTCGGTTTGTAGGGAATGGAGGAATGGGGTACAATTATAACTACTATTATTTCCAATATTCCATTCCCTACAAACCAAAGGAAAGAGAAGTGGCTCATCCCAGCTTCCCTCAGCCCAGCTCCTGAATGCACGAACTAACCGGGACGCTGGTGCATCAGGCCATGGAGAAGCAGAATCCGGCTGTCGTGAAGCTTCAGGCCGGATTCTCATCTTCGGGTTAAGAATTTATGTATATATGTATATATATATATGCATATATATATATATATATGCATATATATATATATATATATTTATATATATATATATATGCATATATATATATATATATATATTTGTATATACAATTATGGTGGCTATGAAAGCAATTTTTAGATACTGCCGCCTTGCGGTCCTCATATCACTACGAGGATGATGTGATGTTCCCACAAACACCAGCTTTGTGCCATTACAGCAAGCAAGCAAGACTACTGATAGTACGTCGCATTTTATCGTCATCATAGCTACAAGGAGCTGTTATGGGATGGTTGTTTCAATTAGACCGCCAGGCAGATCGAAGAACTGTAGACGGTGGAGGCACGCTGCCTCTGGACCGCCCTCCGCGGCTACTCGGAGATGTTGGAAGGTCTCCCACAAGCCCGAAACTGTTGCCTATCATTCAGCCGTTAGCTCCAAACCCATACATACAGACAAGGCCTGCGCCGCCCTTCTTTGCAAACTTTCTGCTTACAGCGGACATCACCCCCAAACGCTTGAATCCTATGCTAAGTCCGCTGATCTTTCGAGCACATGGCTTGTCTCTGGCACCGAAATGTTTTTTTGGTGCAGATCGTTGCGCATTCGAGGAACTTCCTTAATTCTCCAGAAGTTCTTTGATAAGGACACAGCCTTTCTGTCTTTGCATTCCGATCAGAGCTCTGCTAGCTCCCTGCTGCCGAAACTGTTGTCTTTCTGCTTGAGCGCCTTTATGATTTGCATGCAGACGAAATGAGCTAAGGTCGTAACTGTAAGAATACTGGAACTGGAGTCTTTGAACTCACTCGTGGCTGGTGCTTGTCTGATCTGAGGCTGGCACCGCACCTCCCCCTCGAGAGATGGGTGAAGTCGCCTCCCGAGAATCTGGGTCTTGGAAACCTCAGGGTTCATCTTGGAAACCCCCGGGTTCATCTTGAATCTTAACTGTCTTAACTCCTGGGATGCTATTCAAAACAGGGGCCTCTGCAAAGCATCTTTGTTGCTTTCACTGTAAACGAGTATATAGTAGATGTATGGTCTAGGGCTTTAGGGTCTACACTCCAGCCGGTGAAGGAGAGTGAGCATTTGCGATTTGAGGGCACGGGTCTCTCACAGCAATTGGGGTGGCTCTCAAGTTCCTTAATGTCTTCTATCGTGTTCCAGTCCGCGGAGCTTAGTCTGAGTTGCTAAACTGAGGAAGCTTTAAGACCCTCTCTCTCTTTCTCTGTCGTCTCTCTCTGTATATATATACATATATATATATATATATGTATTTGTACATACAGACATATGGAAAGACGTGCCGTGGTATGTTCAGTTGAGTTATCAGAGTTCTTGGAGGTTTTCCGGGCCGTCTCATTGGCCTCTGATCTAGGGCACCACGCCGCGATTTGTTACCCGTGTTTTGGTTGTAAGTCTGCCATACTCACATGGCTTACTTCCAAATGATCGTACCTTATGGCTCTAGTTGCTATGCAACCCAGTAACCTACTATTTTGTTAAGTGGGTCTATACGTCCTAGGTTTGACGAAGCCTCAATGGCTGAGAAACCCGTGGAGCCCTTCACTGGTAAGGTCCTGCACCTGAGAACCACTGAGGTTTCGCGAGGTCGTGAACAGAGCCCTCAAGAGTGAGAAGAACGCCAGGGCGAAAATCCGCGGTACGAGCGGCAGCTCGGTTGCATGACCGGTCTATATTCGTCAAGAATGAGTTTTACGGGTCACATTACACAGCAAGGGTGTCGGGGGTCAGCATCGGAGCATTTGCACTTAGTTCTCATGCTGTTTTGTTTCGACAGGGTTTTTGGTGCTGGTGTTGGCAATGTATATTAGCTGCACATGCTTGCAAGTTGAGCTTCATAAAGGCCAGGATAAAAGACCTAGCCCCTCGTCGTGTATTACGATATCGCCCAGGCACTATTAGTTCAAGCCTCGATAATCCTAAAGTCCTAAAGGCAGGCTGCTCCCCTCCAAGCACCTAATGATCACATACTCCCCCATACTAATGTACAATATTTCTATCGGAAACTCAATACCCAAGTGAGTATTGGGTACGCTGGTGGACCCTTTTGAACCCCCAGTAAAACCATACAGCTCCCCATAAAAGCCCCTCAAGAAAAACTCGTGGGGAAGCCCAACCTAAACCCTATACCCTAAAACCCTTAAACCCTAAACCCCAAAACCAGCGGACTTAGTATCCGAAGCCATGCCTGCCT